CCTGCAGATGAAGGTTCTCCTGCAGATGAAGGTTCTCCTGCAGATGAAGGTTCTCCTGCCAGATGAAGGTTCTCCTGCCAGATGAAGGTTCTCCTGTAAGTTGAAGGTTCACCTGACAGATAAAGGTTCTCCTGTAAGTTGAAGGTTCTCCTGTAAGTTGAAGGTTCTCCTGTAAGTTGAAGGTTCTCCTGCAGATGAAGGTTCTCCTGCAGATGAAGGTTCTCCTGCAGATGAAGGTTCTCCTGCCAGATGAAGGTTCTCCTGCCAGATGAAGGTTCTCCTGCCTGAGTTAATTGGTCAGAAATGTGTCAAAGGAAACGGAAAAGACGCAAAGCTGACATAACTTCCGTGGTTTGGTGGACAAACGTGTCTGAGTGATGCTTTGGGGTTGCCATGGTAACAGCAACCCCTCCCTTCTTCCTCAGCGGCAGCAGGGTGGAGCAGCAGACGGACCGCAGCAGCAGCAGCAGCAGCAGCAGCAGCATCAGGAGGTAAGACCCCGCAGGTCCTCCTCTTCTCCTCCATCCATGTCTCGCTCTGCAGCTGCAGCTCCTTCATCCTCCTCCTTCTCCTCCTTCTGGACCTTCTGGAGGTTCGGGGCTCCGCAGGCCGCAGCCAGAGAGATGCTCGGCGCTGCAGCTCCTGCAGCCTCATGGCTCCGCGGGGAGGAGGCGCAGACAGGAGGTGTTGTTAGGATACGGAGGAGGTGAACAGAATCCAACCGAACCGAACTTAATGTTCGCCTGCTGCATCATGATGATCAGAGGGATGGAGCAGCTCACTGAGGCCTCCTCCACCCATCACCGCCTCCACCTCCTCTCCTCTCCTCGGTCCGGGCTGAACGTTCGGTTCGGACTTCTAGTTTAAATGGGTCTGCAGAGACATCCATCTGATTGGCTGCTCCATTTAAGTCCTGATCCGGTTCCGAGGGAAGTTGAAATCAGATACCTGGTCACGTGACTTTCACCTGCAATTAGGCTGCTTCAGTCACCGGGTCCAGAACCGCACTGGAAAAAAACATCTATTTCTCTAATTAAGGGCATTTACCCTTAATCTGAGTAGATAAATTAGATAATTTGCCAATGGAATGAGTATTTTACTCATTAGGTATTTAGATAAAATTTACTTGGAATAAGAGAATGCATTTGTTTTTTTCTTATTTGATTTTATTCTTTTTTACAGTGTCCTGTCTGGCGTTAAGAATAATTGTCTTGATTCCAAAAAGAGGCCAATAGATTTTACTTTCACAAGTGGAGCAGTACGGCTGTCGCCGTAGTGTTCCGCTTGATTTATGCATATAATTGCTTTATTATAATTCATACAGTTTTGCAGATGATACAGATACTGTAATGTAAGTAGAACAAGGAAGGAAAAAGGAGAAAAGATGAAAGAAAGGATATAAAAGGGAATAACCAACAGATATAGTATAAGAGATACGATAAAGTAACACCTCGATACTATCGCTGAAGTATAAGTAGTATTATTTAATCTGACATGTATACTGTGGTAGCTGAAGATAGTAATATGGGCTTTCTGTATGGAAGTGAATCTCTGAGTACCTGGAACCAAGCAGCTGTAGTTGATTGTGAGAGTGCGCTTTAAATGTTAAGATTATCCAAAGAAAAAATGCTCAATAGTGGTTGTGAAGAGCCGAAGACGCGCCCCTCCAGAGCACCGAGGCGAGCGCCGGGGAACCAAAGCCCCAGGTGCCAAAAGGGACCCCAAGAGCAAAGGCGCCCAGGAGGGACCAACCCAGGAAATCCGACCCCCCACCAAGTGAGGAGGAGAGATGGCCCCGAGGAAAACCCCCAGCGACCGCCATGCTGGAGCCCCCAGCTGGCAGCCAGCCACACTACCCTTAAAGGAATAGTACACCCAAAACATGATTAGC